AGATGGCAGCTACTTGACCAAGAAACTCGGAAAGCAGAAGTTCGAATACTACATGTTGCTGACTGGACAGAGCCACGTCAGCGACACTCCAGAAGCGAAGGGGAGTGTTGGAAACAATCGGTCCTAAAGCGCTTCTATCGTGTCGAAACACCAAGGCACAAGCGAAGCAAATCATATCGAGGCACTAGCGAGTCAACCCTCGGAGGTTGAAGTAACCGCTGGAGGTTACAGGAAAGTCAAAGGTCAGCGACCTTTGACTTGACAAAGGCAGCGCGACAGCAAGGACACACAACTGACTCGATATTGAGCAGTTGCCCGAGTTGCACTGTATCGAACCGCAACAGCCAACAGTAAAACAGTTGTCATTCATACCGTATAGTTCCGGCTAGAAGACCCGCCGGTAAGAAGGTCCCCCGGGACTCTTGTATGGGTAGGGGGACTCTTATTGTGGCCGATTTTGTGAGGACCCCCCCTTCGCCTCTAATCATCATAAGACCCCCCTTTTCTGTATACAGTAGTTGTAATTGATATTGTGCGTCAGCTTTTACTAGTGTAAATTCGAATTCTGACACGCTTTTTGTGTCAAACTCGAATTCTGACACTTCATTTGTGTCAGACTCGAATTCTGACACAGATCTGACGCGCCGCACGCGTGAAATTTTCGCGAATTCGTTACGAATATAAGACCCCCCCACCCCAAATTGAGTTGTACACCCTAAATATCAGATTGATAATTGACAAATAGGTTACCCCGGGTCTTAAAAAATTGTTGCCGCCATAATGTCCACCCGAGCACGATTTCCAGCATTTGTAGAGTCCCCCGGGTCTTCTAGCCGGAACTATACGGTATCTCTTCGTATTCCTTGTACTCCTATATAAACCTTTGTACTTGTTTGCTTTAATCAACTCACTTTGTTCTCACACACTAGTGCAAGGTGGTTCAGAGTCTCATCATTAAACGCTTCCGCTACCACATCACTCTACCCAGAGATTTACTCTACCAAAGATCCTAAGGGGGTTTTTCAGCCCAACAATAGCTACCGTATGTTGTTATGAAACTGCATTAACATCTTGAAATTTGAAGTAACTCTGACAGTTCAGACAAAAGAAGTTGTGCTTGTCTGATTTTTCAGACTAAAAAAAATAGGTAACTCTGACAGCCAGACTAGGAAGAGGGTGTTGAATTGTATTTGCATACCTTATAACTGCCTACAGTTAGCTGGTAGTTATTAGATACCAACTACTGGTGGTGTACCCTTTCCCCTTCCCCTTCTTCCTATTTGTACTCCCAATCTCATAATGAAACCGCTCTTTGGCCAATCTTCTATCCCTCTCGATACCATCCTACGCCTAAGTCCTAAACCCTAAGCTCCTTATCTTGACAGAGGGGTGTACTCTGAGGCGTCAGACTACCACAAAACGAATCTAGGAGCCTGATGGTGGGTCTCCGCGCAGCGGGGGAATTTTTTTTCACCGCACGTTGGGAACACAGAGCAGGGCGGCAGGGCGTTACGTGAGGGGTGCAGTGCATCTGGGCGAATCCTCGCTAAGGGAGATTCGGTTTCAGGGTAACTCAGAGCCCACCCTTTCTACACAGGGTAACGAAACGCCTACGCTGAATTTGTAAGGGTAACCAAAAACCCATTATTTGGGAGAAAGGGTAACACAATTCATAGCCGGCCTAGATCAGGGTAACTAGAAAAAAGCAGCCTACAGAAAGGGCAAAAAGGGTATTTTACCCTGATATTTTGGGCCCTGGCCACATGGCACTAGGAAATCTAGGAAGATAAAGATAAGGGTGAGTTGGAAAGTACTGTTTAGAGTGAACAGTAAATCCCTTATTAGCAAGGCTGACCAATAGTAAATACAGTACAAGTCGCTGAAAGGCGACTCTATTATGTTGTTTTTGGGTGTCACAATGCACAATGCATAAACAAACCAGGGCAAAGCTACGCCCACAGAAAAAGAGGCTGCTGCATGCAGGCCTGAATTCAACATGTCACTCGATCCAGCAGTTGGGTAATCGGACGGCGGACAGCAGAACAAGCTCCAATCGTCTGCCACCGCCTAGAAAACTCCGGGACGCCGTGACAATAAGGCGGCGGATTTCTGGTTGCGCCGTTGCCCCTTACGGAAGATCGCTCCGCCACACGCTACTTTGGCAACGCGCGCGCTTAATTCCCCGGCAACACCTCCACATTTACTTCCCTGATTTCGCCTTCGTTCGCAACCTCTTCGCGAAACGTGCCGATTTCGCTCGCAAGCAGCATCTCCTCGGTGAACAAACAGGCGTCGTCGTCCGAGAAAGCAGCGTCGTCCAGATCGTCAAGCCCGAGATACGCGTCACAAATGCTCGCCACGGGTACCCGGTCGAGAGCGAAACTTTTGGCCCGCCGATCGCAAACTTCGCCAAAATCGGAGGACCAATCATAATGATTGAATGTTGGCCCGGACATTCGCGGTTCAGACGCCTGCTTGCACAGGTAACGGGGGCAGGAAAAATTAAGCTGCTTCGGCGCGCCGTTGAAGTCTGCTCCGTTATCGTAATCACCGCCGACATCGTAACAGGGTTCGGTTACGGAGATTTCTCCGCCGAGACTGTTACTCTTCCCCTGCCTCGCCCAGCACCAATCACGCAAGCCCGCCTCTTCCGGATGTGCCTCGAAACGCCCAGCGTCTTGCGATCGGGAACCTTCGTCTCGTTGACGCAAGTTTGCGAGCGACACGGTGCATGGCGAGCCGAGAGAGCAGCCGAGAACGCGAGAGCGCAATTCGCGGAAGCTGCGGGCTCGCGACGAGGAGTTCTCCGCAGGCGACGGCGGCGAGGACGTGAGACGGACGGCAGTTTCTTCGAAGCGGCTCTGGTGACGCGGCGGCAGAACGGCGATCGGCAACTCGCTTTGAGACCGCGCGTGGCGCTCTTTGGTGCGTTGCTGGTGGACCGACACGTGGCTGAATTGCTCCGCTAGCCGCGCACATTGCGGAAATATCTCGTCGTAGTTAATGTCCCACGGATTCAGAGGGGCCCCTTTCTCGGGTTCGTCTGCCGTTGCAGGGGACTCGATCTTAAGCGGACTCACGCGCCGCCTGAATGCGTCAAGCGAGCTTTGCCGGTGAAGCGGTAGGCTGGCGGCGCGAGCTAGCGAGCCTACTGGTGGAATGCCTGTGCGTTCGCAGTGAGCAGCAGCCATCGAGAAGACGAATTGAAGGCAGAATATGTCAAGTTGACAATCTAAGTCGAACGACAACACTGGAATGGTGCGAGAAATGTGGCTGGAGCTAACAAAAATGACCACTGACTCAGATCGGAGGGGTAGCTAGATTTTGTTATGGAGCACGGGTGGTGGGCAAAATAGTCTATGGGCGTAACGCCTGGACCAATCTGCAACGTTCTGTAACATATAAGACCGTCTACCATCCCGATTTGGCCTGGGTGGGATGCTCAGTCAATCATCCCCCTCTCTGTGCACTACCGCTGATGCGCCATCGCGATCGTTCCATTCCTTCTCAACCGCAGAATGAACGCGCTCGTCCCACTCGTCATCTCCACCCCACTTTCGTCTGACCCGCCTTGCACGCTTGCTTCTGTTCGCGCAGAATGGCAGTTTTTCGCGCGTGAGTCAGGCAGGATGAGTTGAGCGTCCCGGGCAGATTCGGTTGATGGCAGTTTCTAGACTGGCTGACATGGAAAGGACTTTCGGCAACAGCAACATTCTGTTGCTGCTCTGAGTCATGTCCATGTCACAGCTGTCGCACAATCTATCGTGGCAACGTGACACGTGTAGAAACGATCAAGGAGTGCCCAGCGAACAACGCTATCGTCGCGAAACATCCGCGACAGCACAAGGCGTGCGAAAGGCAACAGCTTGGCGGCGCTTTTCCCACGAAGGAATCGCGATTCGTCTCGCATGAGAGCGGGCATGCGGAGGAGGATGCTCGCATTGCGTGCTGGCTCGCTTTGCTACAGTTTACGAATTGTTCTGGATTTGTCGTAAGTGAAAGAGACTGCACATCTGTACAGTCGTCTGATTTTCACTTATTTTTTGCCAGGCACAAATGTGTGAGACTGTCGTCGTCTCTTGTAAAGTATGACACAAACGTTGACGTTTCACGTTCTTCGATATTGCCATTGTTGGCTTGTGGTAATTATAAGCAGTGCATAACTCATTTACCCTCGAATGTTTGTATTTTTTCAAGGTGAATGATATTTCACTGTAAGAAGCGCATAGCATTCTCAGTCGTAATTGACCTTCCAAATTTTCTGATTACTTCTGCGAAGGTGGTGTATTACCTGTGGCGCAAACAACCGCCGTAGGCAACCAGGGAGGAAGGAGAGAGTCCGAGAGGGGGACTGCTTTGCCACCCTGGTCCGCTACGGGACAGAGCTGTCGCTGCACAGCTCACCCAGCCTGAAAACGACACAAGTGGCAGTTAGCTAGCTCAACTCGTCCAAGGAACAACTCTTCATTCCTCACGTGGATGGCATGCGCCCGCAACTCGACCCTTACGTCATGCAATAGGTTCGTGCTGACTGTGGCAGAGCAGCAATTACTGCAGATGGGACGTCTGTTGGCGGGAAAAAAATACGCTCACAGTAATAACCTAGGTTTGGAGCCACCTGGATCAGCAATTAAGACACTAAAAATACATGTGAAGTTACGTGCTCCTTACTGGCTATGAATCTCACTATCTTATTTTTTTAACCATGTACTAGTGAAGGGACCAATCTATCAGCCTTTCCAGCAAAATGCTGGAACTTGGACCTTGTAGGGAGCCTACATTATCGCCTTTGTCAACTAGCCCAGGATGGCTGGGCGGTGTAGAGTGGCGTCAAATCCCCTCTCCTATTGGAGGGCGTCTTCTTAGCGCTCCTGGTACAGCAAAAAATGCAGCGCGAGAGGGGCCGTGAGAACACTAACAAATGCATCATGGATAATGTGCAGGACGACCTAAAAGACTCACGAGATGCTCGAATCAACTGTCTTGACACACACATTATCTCACAGCATATACCAATAAACTTCGTATCGCATCACCTCAACATACATGTAGTTGCATATCAGGAGCTCACCCTGGGGTGTGCATGTAGTTGCATATCAGGAGCTCCTGGAAGGGAGGGTACAGGGAGAAGGGAAAAGCAGCAACGACGGTCAGAATTCCAAGGCCGAGAATTATCATAATTCTTTCCAGCTCTCCTCCACTTCCACTCCTAAGCATCCCCACACCAGCACACCACCCAATCCACTACCCCTCTTTGCCCATCTATCTATCTCCTCCTCCCCTCTGCTCCACTCCCTCCCCTTCTTCCATCCCTTACCACTCTCCCCCGCCCTGCCCCTCCCCTCCCAGTGTGCTCCATCCTCGTTACAATCCGCATTATTTACGCGCCTCAAACATAGACTCCTCACACATACCTGCTCGGCCAAACGCTCTCTGCACGCCTCCAGCTCTTCTCTCAGAGCAGCCATCTCGTTACTGTCCCCTCCGGTACAGCCACCACCCACTGCAGCAGAGGCTGCCTGCTGCTGCGCTGCTCTCTGGACGAGATCCTGAAGGGAACAGCGGGGTGGGCAAATGAGATTTTTTATATCATAACACACAATGGAGGAAAAAAAAATGGCGACCGCAGCAATGATTCCACAAAGGGGAAATACTGGGTGGGACAATTCTAAAATCACGCTGGTCTTTACTAATAATGAATCATTCACTGGGCGGTACATACACGCATGGCCGTCACAATGCGTTGGTGCAGATCCATGATGTGTGGACAGGCCATGTTGGGTGGCAGGGCGTACACGTCCTGGTGGGGGAAAGAGTGGGGACAGAAGCTTGAGGAAAAGAAAGAAACTGCAGGAAATGAAGAAAGGACAGCAATAACATAAAGCGTGGGATTTTTTTCAAAGGGGCGTGGAACTTGAGCAGACGGAAATGTTCATTTTCCTGTTCTCAAGAGGACTCACCATGTTTTCCTCTTCCTCTTCTTCCACTTCCTCCTCCCTCTCCGAACCACACTCACTCCCTCTATCCTCCTCTTTCGCGTCCCTTCTGCTTCCCTCCTCCTCGAAACTCTTCTCATGCCTCCTTTCCTTCTGCTGCCCTTCTCCTACTGACGAGGGCAGGCCCTTGCTGTACTCGCTAATGAGTGATTGGAGGTCCGTCTGAAGAAACAGATCCAAAAAAGCGACATTTTGCAATGAGAGGGGTAGCAGGAACAAGGGCACGTGAATTTGAGACACGAGCCTTGCAAGCAGGCACTGGATTTGTAATAACATTACAATAAATAATAGCCATAAAGAAAAATTACCAATGGGTCGAATAAACAACTTCCATATATTGTCCATTTGTTTGGGTGTACCTGCATGGAGCGAATGACTGCCATGAGCTGCTTGCTGTCCTCCCCCACTGCCCTCAGCTGCCTCTCATGCGCCTCCATCTGTTACCAGTGGGACAGTGGGGAAAGATGATGCATGGACAGAGAGGAGCGAGTACCAATGAACGGGAGGACAGAGGAAAAGAGCCTGTAAAGAAGTCGCAACAAGGTCTGGACTGGTGTCGCATGGAGGGGTTAAGTGGGGGTGGGGGAGGGGGGGGAACAGGAGAGCAATGTGGGAAGAGTCGAAGCAGCTTCGACTCTTAACACAGTGATTATGATCAAAGAAGGCACTTAGCAGAGTGACACCTACGATGCGACGCTTAAGAACGTAGCATTGAACCTAGCGACGCTCAAGGGATTCACGCTTACCATGCGCTTGTAAAAGTTGCTATCTGACTTCTTCCCGCCCCATGTGGCCCTCTGCCTGCCCTCTGACTGCAACACACAGAGAACAGGGGAGTACAGGGGAACAAGGATGGGGTACGCATTTGTTGGGATAGGAGGGACAAGGTTGGGTAAGGCTGGGTGGAAGGGAAGAAGGATCTCACATCTAGCTGCCTGGCGGGCATGCGCTTGCCTCCCACGCACAACCCTAGCCTCTCCTATGCGAAGCACAGCACAACACTGCAACGCGCACTTCCGTACCACAGTCCACCGCACTGTACCTGGGGATTGAGGTTGACAATATCCACTCCCGGCTGCCTGGGGGGCGTGCGCTTGCCCCCCACGCAAGACGCGAGCTTCTCCTGCAGCTTCACAAACTCGCGCTTCTCCTTGCGCAGCTCGAACGCCTGCTGCGCCTTCACTTGCTGCAGGGGGCGGGTGGGAGAGGCGTGGGTGGATGGTGGGACGAGCGTGGTGAATACACGTATAGAAAAGATGCCGGAAAGGCGCCGAAAGGCGCCTCGGAAAGGCGCCGAAAAGAAGCAGTGAGTGAGATGGTGGACTGGATGGAGTCAAATACAACAGTATCGAGGACAGAAGAGTTTCGAGGATATAACAGTATCGAGGATACTGCTTGCTGACTCACCTGCAGGGCTTGCTGACTCACCTGCAGGACTTGCTGAGTCACCTGCAGGACTTGCTGACTCACCTGCAGGGCGATGACATGCTTGCTGAGCTCGTCCCTCTCTGCTCTTAACTTCTTGATCTGCGCCTTGAACTCCGCCGCCGCTTTTTGCTCCTGGTGGGTCCATCCACAGGACACGCAGAGAGGCAATAAGAGATGAAACGAGAGTCGAATGGGATGACCCTTTTTGAGGCGCCGCAAAGCTGCTTGCTGAGCTCGTCCCTCTCTGCTCTTGCTGAATTAGTAATTACTAATCGCAAAGCTGCTTGCTGAGCTTCTTGATCTACGCCTTGAACTCCGCCGCCGCCTTTTGCTCCTGGAGAGCGACGAGTCGATTCATAGAACACGCCGGAAGACGAGATGAGAGTGAGATGGGAGAAGATGAGACGATGCGAGTTACAATGAGACGAGAAACACGATACACACAGAAATTTCCTCTGATGCTGGAAGCAGGGCTCGCGACTGGATTATCTCCTCATTCTCTTGTGCATGATGATATCGGCTGTGCTTGTTTACCACTCTCCTGCACCCATTCCCACCCAATCTCGTCCATTCCAACCCATCTATCCCCCTCCTTCTCCTCTCTCTCTTGCTCCCAGCCCACACCCCCACCTGCGCTGTAAGCGACTGGATTTTTCGCCTTGCGACTTCCAGCTCGTCTTCTAGACGATCCGAGCGACTCTCCGCCGTCGCCAGGTCGCACATGAGCCGGTGTCGCTGCTTCGCCAGGTCGTCGAGCTGTTTCGCATCCGCCTGTCGCTGCTGCACTAGCTGGTAGATGCAGTCGCACGCCGTCGCCATGGACGCCTGCGAACATTCATGCGACATGCAATGACACAAAGCAAGCGCTGGTTGCCGGGAAAGCGGTCCTGGACGTATGTTTAAGAGACTGAAGCATTCTGTGGAGCGAAATCCAAGCAGCTCAGAGGTCTGGAATCTGATTAGTAACCTGCAAAGCATAATGAATTAGTAATTACCTGATACGACATGAACTAATTAAACAAATTCTTGGATGAGTCACTAACCGCTTCATCGGATCGAAGTGCGAGGGTCGGTGGAAGACCGAGCAGTACCAATGACTCGTTCAGGTACGCGATACAGTGGTCAAGGTTTTGCGTGTTAGCGAATCCGTCCGCCAGCTGCAGGGGATGTTCATCCTCCATAGTTTCTCGACGAGCGCTTAGTGATGTACTGCGGGGACTCTAATGATAATTTAGTCAATAAATAAAACGCCAGCGACAGATTACTGCTCCGTGGTAGCTAACAGGGATAGCCGAAACCGATTCTCATCCAATAGCCTCCGCTAGAATCCAGGTAGTAAGGAGAATTCCAAGCTGGAGTCGTAGCGTAGCTTGAGGCAACGCGTCGATGGCGACGGGTTCAAGGCGGAAGGACTTTTAGACGGCGGTGAAACCGACGCGTTTGAGATAACTTCTAGGTGATGAATGCCTCGAGTCCAAAAATCTTCAGGGTGATATGGTTCAGAAGTATTTAGAATGGCTTTCGAAGTTGACTGGTGCTGGTGGCAGGGAAACTCGAATCGCGTGTGTCAGAGAGAGGAGATTCTGACAGTTTGGGAGGGAGAGGGTGTCTGGTTCGTTTCTTTTCGAGCCAGGTTCCACGGTTTTCACTGGTGCGTTACGGTTTCAAGCGGTGCTGAAACTGAACCGCGATGGATGACCAGTGGACCAACACGCCCCAGCCCAACATCAGCTGCGGTGTACGTGAATGACCTTATGTTGATTTGTTCGTACGAGGCATACGCGTTAAAAAGAACCGTCCAAGCCTCAAACAACTGTGTAACCTGCTTCGTCTGTTCGTCCGTTCTTCGCCACGCAATCAAAATCGCCCCGTTCTCCATTCCCCCCTACACCCAAGTTCCAACCTGCGCCAAGCCCAGAGATGTCATGTGCACTCACACACTCCCTCCCCCTGCATGTTTCAAATTCCGCGCTGCAATTTTTCCCCTACCTCGAGTCGCTGCATGTCGTCTTTGCCTATCCACGTGTCTCACCTTGCCGAAACCGCATGAAGGAAAGCATCAGATTCGGAAACTACTTCATTTGTATATGCTTTTCCTCGGCCTTCTGCTGACGCGCTCCCGTCACCTCCAGTCTATCTGACCTCCCTCGTCGTCTCTCTTCCCACGTTCTCTGCCAGTAAAGCGCGGACATTCGGTGCGCGGGAGAAGAACGGTCAATGCTGTCTGTCGCGGTTTCCGCAAGGAGCTTTTCATCTCTCGCACGCCCATGTCGTCGCGCCCAGCCCCTCACGCGCCGATGCAGTGTCCCCACCGCTCTCCCTAGTAGTACTACCGCTTCCGCGCCTTCGTCCGCTTCCGCGTCCGCTTATTCCGCTTCTTCCGCCTCCGCCGCCGCTTCTCGCTTCGCCGCCCGTTTGTCCTCATTCTCCTCCGCGCATATCCCGTCGTTCCAAACTCCCGTACAACCATCGCTGCAAGCGGAGAAAACATCCTCGTTGGTAACAGTCATGAGCCACCAGCAGCATCGCCGGCAACATCACAGCGGCCGGCAAGGCGAAAAAAGCGGGCGTCAGATCCACCAGGAAAACTCCCAGCAGCAAGCAGAAAGCGCACGCGCGGCCGCCTTCCCGGTTTCTATAGCTGACGGTCGCCGGTTCCACAACCTGCTAGCCGACTATGACCCCTCCCAGGCTGCTGTAGCGCAAGTGGAACGAAGGGCTCGGGAGTTAGGGGTCCCTGCAGGCGGAGTGACTGTAACGGGGGAAGGCGGAGTGAATGTAACGGGGAAAACAGGAGTGACTGTAACAGGGAAAGGGCGGGGAGAAGAGAGCAGGGTGGGTTCGTCGCTGCCAGGTGTCGGGCCGTCATTGGCTGTTCCGTCTGAGGAGGAGTTTTCTGCGAGCGGGTTTGGAGCTGAAAGATCAGGTGGGGTGCTTAGTTTTAGTCTAGAACCACTCCAACACTTAGCTCCTCGTTCTTCTCACCCGCCTCCTCCTCTCCTTTACCCCCTCCCTTACCCTCCCCCTCCCTCCCCCCCCCCCCCCCCCCCCTCTCCTCCCTTTCTTCACCTCACAAAAGCATATCTGCCTTCCGTTTCGTTTCGCCCTTTAGTTTGACACAGATAGTGGCTGCCAGGGTCCGGGACCCGTTTCTCTATGTGGGCCTGCAGGGAACAGCCTGGGTGTGCTTCAGAACCTCTGTTATCTCATCCCTCTTCCTCCTATCCTTGCCCTCATCCGTGCCTCGCTAACACAGACAGTGCAAGCCACGTGGACGAACGGAACTCCAGCGCCCAGGGTACGCGGCCCCTTTCTTCATTCTTCTCACTCGTCTGCTCGCGCCCCCCCCCCCCCCCCCCCCCTCCTTTGCCTTGCAAGCACAGATAGTGCAAGCCACATGGACGAACGGAGGTCCAGCGCCCAGGGTGCGGGACCCATTCCTCTATGTGGGCCTGCTGGCAACAGCCTGGGTGTGCTTCAGAGCCTCTGTTATTTCAACCCTCTTCCTCCTATCCTCCTCCTCCCCCTTGCACCTCGCAAGCACAGATAGTGCAAGCCACATGGACGAACGGAGCGCCAGCTCGCAGGGTGCGGGACCCGTTCCTCTATGTGGGCCTGCTGGGGACAGCGTGGGTGTGCTTCAGAGCATATCAGGCCACAGGCGATGTTTCTGACCTGGCACTTGCTGCGGACATCATCCGGGCTGCTGCTGACATGGCGGAACGCCATCGAACGTGGGTAGCTGTGCTGGCTTTTGTCTGTGCCTGTCCTAGTTTCGGGCTTCATGGTACTCGCATATGCTGTCAGTTTATATGCTGTCAGTTGTGTTTTGCGCCGACTCAAAACACACCTGGCTTTATAATACTCGCATGTGCTGTCAGTGCTTCCTAACAGCTCACGTACCTACATTGCTCTACCATCACTCCCCCATCGCTCATAATCACTCCTCCCTTTTCTCCCCATGCCATCAGGCATTACACCTTCTACTGTGGTCAACCGGGCATTCTTGCATTGGGAGCTGTCATGCATCATCATCTCATGCACCACTCGCAGCAGCAACCGCAGCAACCTTTGCACCAACACCAGCAGCAGCAGCACGAGGAGCTCGAATCCAATCCCTACCTCCGCTCCTTCCTCTCCCTCCTCACCTCCTCACTCCCCTCGCTCTCCCTCCTCCCCTCCTCCCCCCACCGACACTGCACCAGCCACCATCCCCCACGAGCTACTGTACGGGAGAGCAGGCATGCTCTGGGCCTTCCTGTTCCTGCGCAGGAACCTTCCTGTGGATATGCGAAGGAATCTTCTTCCTTTGTCTCTCGCCCGCCCCATTGCTGCTGCCATTGTGGAAGCGGGGCTGTCCCTTGCGTCGACGTATGCTCATGGTAAGCACATCGACAGGATTTCAGGGTAGAACTGTAGAGATGGCGTTTGAGTCAGCTCAAAAGTCACCTCGCTTCAAAAGCCATTGTGGATGCGGGGCTGTCCCTTGCGTCGATGTATGCTCATGGTAAGCAAGAAGACAAAAAGGCATGGTGGAACTTCTGAGTGCAGGCGTGCGGGGTATGGTCCCCGCCCACCCCTCATGTACGAGTGGTATGGGACGCGGTACCTGGGGGTAGCAGCTGGCATGAGAAGACTCATTCTCGTTGCATGTAACCATGCTGTCCTGCCCCCTGTTCCCCATGCTGAATGCAGATGGCCACCCCCTCCCGCCCCTCATGTATGAGTGGTACGGCACCCGGTATCTGGGGGCAGAACACAGCATGAGAAAGACTCATTCTCGTTGCGTGCATCCATGCTGACATGCCCCACTTAAACTTCTTCTGCAGATGGAAGTCCCCTCCCGCCTCTCATGTACGAGTGGTACGGCACTCGGTACCTGGGGGCAGCACACGGCGTGGCAGGGATAGTACACGTGCTGCTGCTGCTACGGAGAGAAGAACTGGAGGAGGAGGCGGAACTGGAGGAAGTGGGGAAGGAGAGGGGTGCAACAGCAGGCGTCAGGGAAGCAGCAGTGCTAGGAGGCAGTGCGAGGGAAAGGGGAGACTGGACACTGGAGGAGGCAGCAGAAGCAGCAGCAGCAGCGCTGGAATACCTAGTGGCCACTCGCCTGCCTTCCGGGAACTATGCTGCGAGCGATGAGGAGAGCCGAGCGGCTGCTGCTGCAGTCAGAAACACACTCAAACGAGAAAGCAGTGCTGCTGCTGCTGCTGCTAGGGGTATCGCGGGTGGGGGTGGAAGCACGGGCGAGGGAGAGGTGAGGGGGGTGCAAGAGGCAGATCGGTTGGTGCACTGGTGCCACGGAACCCCTGGTGTGGCTCCCACTCTCGCCCATGCTGCTATGGTGGGCCCCTTAGCTCATGCGTCTGAAGTGATTAGACCTCGATCTGTTGGCACTCAGTCCGTTCTTTTGGCCATGAACCGCTCAATTCCAGAGCTCATCCTTTCCTCTGCCCTTAATGCCCTCTCCTCCTTACACCAGCTGTTTCCGTCCAAGCCCCAGTTGCTGCAAGCAGCCATCGAGGCAGGAGAGGTTGTTTGGCACCGAGGCTTGCTACGCAGGGTCGGTCTCTGCCATGGCATCAGCGGCAACGCCTACACTTTCCTGGCTCTCCACCGAGCCACAACTGCAGGCTCGGCAACCGTCCCTGCCCCAGGTTTGGGATCAGCTGCTGCCGAGGGCGCTGGAGCTTCTATGGCTGCCACTTCAGCATCGCCCGGAGCTCAGACAGCAGGAGACAATGACACATCAGCGCTGATGACACGTCACCTGCACAGAGCACGCGCATTTGCTGGCTTCCTGCATGCCAACTGGCGCCAGCTGGCGGAGGCAGGCACCCTGCACTGCGGGGATCACCCGTTCTCCCTCATGGAAGGTCTGGGTGGCCCTGCTTGTCTGTTTCTGGACATGAGCCGACCCAATGAAGCAAGGTTTCCAGGGTACGAGCTGTAGAGCTGGCTTGGATATAGTGATTGTGGAGCCTGTGTAGGATATAGTGCAGAGAGGGTGGAGATAGTGGGAGGGTTTTGTCAAGGACTGATGCGCTGTGTTGCACTAGCAAAAGATAAGAGTGTAGATGTTGACAAGGTAGCAGTTGAAATCACAATGCTGTGGATGTTAAAAAGTTGGTTTTACCAAAGGGTGTGGTGTGAACATGTTCTTCGTGAAGCAGCAAGTATACCTCCTTGAGCAACTCAATCAGGAAAAAAGAAAGGACCATCAATACTCACAACAATCGTGAACAAATGGGTTCATGGCTTGGCTATGAGGTCAGTAGCTCTGCCATAGCTCGGCTATTGGGTTCATGGCTCCTTGCAGCGGTAGTGCATACACGCAGAGGCCGAGATCCAACCGAGAAGGAGGCATAGGCCTAACAACGTAAGAGCCTAACAGTGTAACAGCCTAACAGCGTAACAGCCTAACACCGTAACAGCGCAACAGCCTAACAGTGTAATAGCCTAACAGCGTAACAGCTTAACAGTGTAACAGCCTAATAGCGTAACAGCCTAACAGCCTAACAGATTAACAGCCTGACAGCGTAACAGCCTAACAACGTAACAGCCTAACAACGTAACAGCCTAGCAGCGTAACAACCTAGCAGCGTAATAGCATAGCAGCGTAACAGCCTAGCAACGTAACAGCCTGACAGCCTAACAGCTTAGCAGCGTAATAACCTAGCCGTGTAACAGCCTAGCAGCGTAACAACGTACCACCGTAATAGCCTAACAGCGTAACAGCCTAACAGCGTAACAGCCTAACAACGTAACAGCCTAACAGCGTAACAGCCTAACAGCATAACAGCGTAACAGCCTAACAGCCTAACAGCGTAACAGCGTAATAGCCTAACAGCGTAACAGCGTAATAGCCTAACAGCGTAACAGCGTAACAGCGTAACAGCCTAACAGCGTAACATCGTAACAGCGTAACATCGTAACAGCGTAACAGCGTAACAAACTAACAGCGTAACAGCCTAACAGCGTAGCAGCCTAACAGCGTAGCAGGCTAACAGCGTAGCAGGCTAACAACGTAGCAGCGTAACAGCTAGCGTACCAGCTTAGCAGCGTAACAGCTTAGCACCGTAACAAATTAGCAGCCTAATAGCTTAGCAGCGTAACAGCGTAGCAGCGTAACAGCGCAACAGTGTAGCAGCGCAACAGGGTAGGAGGGCAACAGCGTAGCAGCGTAACAGCGTAACAATTTAAAAGCGTAACACCTTAATAACGTAACAGCTTAACATCCTAACAGCTAAACAGCCTAACAGCTTAACAGCGTAACAGCATAACAGCGTAACAGCCTAACAGCGTAACAGCCTAACAGCGTAACAGCCTAACAGCTTAGCAGCCTAACAGCGTAGCAGCCTAACAGCGTAGCACCCTAACAGCGTAGCAGCCCTAACAGCGTAACAGCGTAAAAGGGTAACAGCGTAACAGCGTAAAAGGGTAACAGCGTAACAGCCTAACAGCGTAACAGCCTAACAACGTAACAACGTGACAGCGTAACAACGTAACAGCGTAACAGCCTAACAGCGTAACAACCTAATAGCGTAACAGCCTAACAGCGTAACAGACTAACAGCGTAACAGACTAACAGCGTAACAACCTAACAGCGTAACAACCTAACAGCGTAACAGCGTAACAGCCTAACACGTAATAGCCTAACAGCGTAACAACCTAAAGCGTAACAGCCTAACAGAGTAACAGCGTAACAGCGTAACAGCGGAACAGCGTAACAGCGGAACAGCGTAACAGCGGAACAGCCTAACAGCTTAACAGCCTAACAGCGTAACAGCCTAACAGCGTAACAGCCTAACCGCGTAACAGCCTAACAGCATAACAGCCTAACAACGTAACAACGTAACAGCGTAACAGCGTAACAGCCTAACAGCGTAACAGCCTAACAGCGTAACAGCCTAACAGCGTAACAGCCTAACAGCGTAACAGCCTAACAGCCTAAGAACGTAACAGCCTAACAACCTAACAGCCTAACAGCGTAGCACCCTAATAGCTTAACAACCTAACAGCGTAACAGCCTAACAGCGTAACAGCCTGACAGCGTAACAGCCTGACAGCGTAACAGCCTAACAGCGTAACAGCCTAGCAGCGTAACAACCTAGCAGCGTAATAGCATAGCAGCGTAACAGCCTAGCAACGTAACAGCCTGACAGCGTAACAGCTTAGCAGCGTAACAACCTAGCCGCGTAACAGCCTAGCAGCGTAACAACGTACCACCGTAATAGCCTAACAGCGTAACAGCCTAACAGCGTAACAGCCTAACAACGTAAGAGCCTAACAGCGTAACAGCCTAACAGCATAACAGCGTAACAGCCTAACAGCCTAACAGCGTAACAGCGTAATAGCCTAACAGCGTAACAGCCTAACAGCGTAACGGCCTAACAGCGTAACAGCGTAACAGCCTAACAGCGTAACATCGTAACAGCGTAACAGCGTAACAAACTAACAGCGTAACAGCCTAACAGCCTAACAGCGTAGCAGCCTAACAGCGTAGCAGGCTAACAGTGTAGCAGGCTAACAACGTAGCAGCGTAACAGCTAGCGTACCAGCTTAGCAGCGTAACAGCTTAGCAGCGTAACAAATTAGCAGCCTAACAGCTTAGCAGCGTAACAGCGTAGCAGCGTAACAGCGCAACAGTGTAGCAGCGCAACAGCGTAGCAGCGCAACAGCGTAGCAGCGTAACAGCGTAACAATTTAAAAGCGTAACACCTTAATAACGTAACAGCTTAACATCCTAACAGCTAAACAGCCTAACAGCTTAACAGCGTAACAGCATAACAGCGTAACAGCCTAACAGCGTAACAGCCTAACAGCGTAACAGCCTAACAGCTTAGCAGCCTAACAGCGTAGCACCCTAACAGCGTAGCAGCCTAACAGCGTAACAGCGTAAAAGGGTAACAGCGTAACAGCGTAAAAGGGTAACAGCGTAACAGCGTAACAACGTAAAAGCCTAACAGCTAACAGCCTAACAGTGTAACAGCCTAACAACGTAACAACGTGACAGCGTAACAACGTAACAGCGTAACAGCCTAACAGCGTAACAACCTAACAGCGTAACAGCCTAACAGCGTAACAGACTAACAGCGTAACAGCCTAACAGCGTAACAACCTAACAGCGTAACAACCTAACAGCGTAACAGCATAACAGCCTAACACGTAATAGCCTAACAGCGTAACAACCTAAAGCGTAACAGCCTAACAGAGTAACAGCGTAACAGCGTAACAGCGGAACAGCGTAACAGCGGAACAGCCTAACAGCTTAACAGCCTGACAGCGTAACAGCCTAACAGCGTAACAGCCTAACCGCGTAACAGCCTAACAGCGTAACAGCCTAACAACGTAACAACGTAACAGCGTAACAGCGTAACAGCCTAACAGCGTAACAGCCTAACAGCGTAACAGCCTAACAGCGTAACAGCCTAACAGCGTAACAGCCTAACAGCCTAAGAACGTAACAGCCTAACAACCTAACAGCCTAACAGCGTAGCACCCTAATAGCTTAACAACCTAACAGCGTAACAGCCTAACAGCGTAACAGCCTAACAGCGTAACAGCCTAACAGCGTAACAGCCTAACAGCGTAACAGACTAGCAGCGCAACAACCTAAAAGTGGAACAACCTAACAGCGTAACAGCCTAACAGCATAACAACCTAACAGCATAACAGCCTAACAGCGTAACAGCCTAACTGCGTAACAGCCTAACTGCGTAACAGCCAAACAGCTTAACAGCCTTACAGCTTAACAGCGTAACAGCCTAACAACGTAACAACGTAACAGCGTAACAGCGTAACAGCCTAACAGCGTAACAGCCTAACAGCGTAACAGCCTAACAGTGTAACAGCCTAACAGCGTAACAGCCTAACAGCCTAAGAACGTAACAGCCTAACAGCGTAATAGCCTAACAGCGTAACAGCCTAATAGCGTAACAGACTAACAGCGTAACAGCCTAACAGCGGAACAACCTTACAGCGTAACAGCGTAACATCGTAACAGCGTAACAGCCTAACAGCGTAACAACCTAACAGCGTAACAGCCTAACAGTGTAACAGCCTAACAGCATAACAACCCAAACAACATAACAGCCAAACAGCGTAACAGCCTAATATCTTAACAACCTAACAGCGTAACAGCCTAACAGCTTAACAGCCTAACAGCGTAACAGCCTAACAGCATAACAACCTAACAGCATAACAGCCTAACAGCGTAACAGCCTAACTGAGTAACAGCCTAACTGCGTAACCGCCCAATAGTGTAACAGCCTAACAGTTTAACAGCCTAACACCAAAATAGCCTAACACCTTAACTGCCTAACAGCGTAACAGCCTAACAGCGTGACAGCCCAACAGCTTAACAGCCTAACAGCGCAACTGCCTAACAACGTAACAGCGTAGCAGCGCAACAACGTAACAGCGTAACTGCGTAACACCCTAATAGCATAACAGCCTAACAGCGTAACAGCCTAACAGTGTAACAGCCTAACAGCGTAACAGACAATCGATGTAACAGCATAACAGACAATCGACGTAACAGCATAACAGACAATCGACGTAACAGCATAACATCGTAACGGTCTAACAGCGTAACAACCTAACACAGTAACAGCCTAACAAACAAACAGAGTAACAGCGCAACAGCGTAACATCATAACAACGTAACAGCCTAACAGCGCAACAGCCTACCGCACGCTCATACGCCGCACTGCACGTTCATAAGCTGCCACCGCCCTCTCATACGCTGCACCATGCTTTGATACGCTGCACCACCCGCTCATACGCTGCACCGCCCGCTCATACGCTGCACCGTCCGCTCATACGCTGCACCGCCTGCTGATACGCTTGCACCGCCCCCCTCATACGCTGCACCGCCCACTCATACGCTGCTCCGCCCGCTCATACGCTGCAACGCCCGCTCATACGCTGCACCCGCCCGCTCATACGCTG